ACCATTCTCACTGCACTCGTGTTCTCCCTCTCCCTATCTCTCCCTCTCTCTCCCTCTCTCTCCCTCTCTCTCCCTCTCTCTCCTCAATATATTTGCATATGCTGTGCCTTTTAACTGAAATATCCCTTTCTTCCTTTGCCAGGCAAATTCTTCCATCCTCTTGTGTCTTGATTCAGTGAAGCCTTCTCAAATGTCATGCTACTGCTAAGTGCATGGCCCTTTAAAGTAGAGAGGGTTTAGGATGGAGCAAAGGGCCATCTGAATTATGCCGCAGGCTCTTGTGGAGCTTGCTGGATGAGGGTGCCAAAGTGGGAAATCTTGAAGAACTAAGAGATGGAAGATCCACATTCAGGATAAGGCAAGTGTTCCATTAGCTAACAAGGGCTTATGTAATGGGGCAGAGACAGATGAGGTCAGACAGAGACAGGCTGACCTGTCTCCAGCCCATTCAGAGAATATATATTCTGTCCCTCAGGCAGTGGGGAGCTCAGGGCTCCAGAATGAGGATAAATAAGGTCTGAAGTCTGCTGTGACATGTACTCTGTCTTAGAAGTGTGAACAGTTACATCTGCATAATTCCATTTGCACACTTCTTGGAGTCATAGCCATTCCCAATCAGTTGATTTATGCTTATAGCATGATAATACCAAGATGGGCTTTAATGTTTTTTACAAATTTCTTCTAAAACCCCACAGTGACTAAGAACCATTTTTAGTTTTCACAGAAACTATATTTAACTGTTTCCTCCAATGCCAAGAAATACCTTGTTAGTAAAAGGCTATGGACTGACTGTGAACTACCCAGTGTAACGACTGTGCCTTAATCTGTACATTGCACTGGAGGAATATAGGTAGAATGCTTCCTGAGCACTGGCCACCAGCCAGCACTGTAGCAAGATAATGACCAGAGATAAATCAAAACAGCCTTTCCTTACAGCTTACAACCCAGTGAATTCCACAATACACCAAATTAGTAAAATAAGACCCGTTCATCCTAAATTCCTACCTTAAAGCTATCTGCCATCAATTCTATACTCAGCATTTTGTTCTGCCCTAGAGCCTTCAGGATTTTCCACACCATATTAAGAGCAAAAAAATCTAATCTCTAATCTCTGGTGACAAATTAGCATTTTAACTCTCTCTTCCGCATAGTAGTCTTTTAAATATCGTTCCCGGTGAAGAAACCAGAGTCCTTGTTTTGGACCACACCCACCAAGAGAAAATGTGTATTATGCTATAAAATGATAATCTGTCAGATTTTAGTCCATAGTACAGCTTCAAGAACTTCTTTATGACACCACCTCAAGGCACTAAAGTCACAAGACTGTGCAAGCAAGACAGCTAGGTGAACCAGGAGAGACCAAAGAACAAACATGTTATACTTGGAAACTGTTAGCATTAAACTAATCATATACACTAATGATAATCTACTCTACCATGCTATCTCTTATTAAAAACGAAGGGAATGCTGGACATGGTGGCGCATGCCTGTAATCACATCGCTTAGGAGGCCGAGGCGAGGATCACTGTGAGTTCGAGGCCAGCCTGGGCTACATAGTGAGTCTGGGCCAACCTTAACTGCATAGTGAGATTGTTTCAAAAATAAATAAATAAATAAATAAACAAATAAATAAGAGAGAAAGAAGGGAAATAACTCATTTTAGTTGCTACTATGAAGATATTTTGTTTTTACAAAACCCTTAAACTTGTATTAAAATTGTACATTTCCAGAGCCTAGATGTAGAATCGACAATGTAAAATTAAGTATGTAAGTATACACAGAAGTATATACTTCTCAAGTCAGTTGTGAAGGAGTCTTTTCTCTCTCTCTCTCTCTTTTTCTTTTTGTCTTTATGAGACAAGGTTTCACTATGCAGTTCAGGCTGGCCTGGAACTCACAGGGGTCCTCTTGTCTCAGCCTTCCAAGTGCTGGAATTACAGGCATGCACCACTACCCTCAGCTGGTGTCATCTTTGATGTCCTTCCCGTTCTAATCTTCTATCCACATCCAATACGTCTTCAAGAACTGTGCTAAGCCAGACATGGTGGCTCATAGATCTTTTCCAGCCTCTTGTAGAGCTAAGTGTGGCCAGGTGATTAAATGTGGTCCAATGGGATGTATGCAATGCCCTTAAAAAGGGGCATGACTCTCTCTTCACTTTCCCACTTATTGTAATGCAGAAAGTGACAGCAAGAGGAGGCAGCTGGCTCACTAAATGGAAGGTGCCAGTGGAGGCAGAGCACAGGAGACGGATGAAGCCAAGTCCCTGATGACTGAAATTGCCACACTGTGCCTGAACTGCCTCCTGGACTTTAACATAAGAAACCAGTTTTTTGGTTTTTTGTTTTGCTTTGCTTTTGCTTAAACCACTGATACAGGGGTTTTCTGCTCCATTGAGCAGTCTTGTCTAACCTGATACACCATTCCAGACTTCCAAATTCTCCATTCTCTGGGCTTTTGTGGATGCAATTACCTCTACTTGAAAATACAACTCCTGCTCCTTTCACTTTTTAAAAGTGAGGTCAACTGTTACCTTTTTTAGGCAAGTTTTGCCTGACTTCCTAGATGCAATTTAAAGACTTGTTATTTACTCTTTATGTCTTCCCATATGTAACACCTTTCATTATTGAATTGTCTCTTCTGTCACACCATACACCAAGAGCAAGTATCTGCCTCGCCCGCCATCATCCAAATGATCAGCACTCAGTAAATGATTAGCACCCAATAAATATTTGCTCAACTGAATAATGACACAGCCCTTGAGTGATTTTCTGGACTGTGCCCCAAGAGTCTCTTGGCTTTATATATTATGGGACCTCTATAAAGCCCATCTATAGCTCTGTTGCTGTCACTCTTATAATGTAAATACTGTTTCTCTCTGTTTGCCTTTTAGACAAATCTGAAAAGGGCAGCTCCCTGAGCAGATGTGCACAGATCCTTCAACCACAATTTCATATTCTCCTCATACACCTAGGTACTAAATTAAAATATTATGTATATTCCTGAAATTTTTAAAACAGAAACTTTTAACATGATCAATATTTTTAAGAGTTGGGATGACTTAAAGGAATTTTTACAGAAAAATATAAAAAAGGATGCAAACTACATTATCTGAATATTCTCACCATGTATGGAAACACACTCCAAAAAGATTTCAAAAGATTCTAGTTTTAAAGTAAATAGAAGATTTTAAGCATATGACAAGGTCTGTTGGTTTATTGTTTTGGGTTTTCTGTTACTGTTATTGTTTGCTTTTGTTTTTTGAGACAGGGTCTTGTTATACAGTTCAGGCGGGCCTAGACCCGACTGTGTAGTCCAGGCTGGCCTGAAACTCGTGGCAACCCTCCTGCTTCAGCCTCTGGAGTGCTCCGATTACAGGTAGGCAGTAACATGGCTGGGTTTGGTTTACTGTTTTTTAAAAGTACTCATCCTTCACTGACTTAAGATTCAAGGAAGATGATTCACTTTCACAAATTGAACACCCTTTTGGGCATAGCACTGTGAAGCTGAAACAGGATTTGGAATGGGGTAGTGGAACATTTTAAAAAATCAAGAGAACTGGGTAACAGTTCCAGATTTGCCGTTCAAGTAACTCACTGAGTGACCCTGGATCAGTCTTTTCCTAACTCTAAAATGAAGAGTTCAGGACAGATATGAGAAAACCTGTGTAAGTACCGTACTCACAGGAAACCAGGCATTCACCTACCAATTTTGGGTCCTATAAAAATTTAAATGAAAATTAGAAAGCTAGTTTTCTCTGAGATGAGATTAGACTGGTTTGCACAGTATGCGATTTCTCTCCTCCTCCATTTACCCATGCTCACTTTGGATTCGGAAGGTGCTCTGCAAAAACCTGTCTAGGCTAGTAAAACAGAATGGCTTTCACTATCACTCCCCTGATCCTTGAACGTCATTTCTATTAAACACTTTTAGAGTCTGATAGGAAAGCTCTAGAGAGTAACTGATCCAGCTTCAAACCCACAAATGTCTGAACCGTAATATGGAAAGACATCTCGGCTTCTCCAACTCTTCAGACCAAGGACAAAGCTAGAGACTGAAAGCGCCCGGAGTGAACAGGTTAGGCGCACCCCAAAAGGGTCCCAGCAGCGCCATGCTTTCATTTTAAGAAGCTGAGGACCCTACAGGTTCCTAAGCCCGGTTTTCCCAAAACTGCCCACCTCTTAACGCCCTTGGGGGCGACCGCCCCGTCCCTGCCCCCGCAGTCGCCAGTCGGCCCTGACCTCCTCGAACTGCTCGCCGGAACAGCCAGCTCCGCGAGCCTCCAGCAGCTCCCGGAACTGCTCCAGAGTGACGGACTCTTCGCCGCGGCCCAGCCGCTCTTCCAGCCAGCGCAACAGCGCGCCGTGATGCCTCGATACCAACGACTCGCAAGGCGGTGCGGGCCGCAACGCAGCCGCTGCCTCTCGCAACCTGGCGGGTTCCAGCAGTGCGGCGGCGGGCGGCAGCGCGGGGGCCGCAGGGCCCGAGCCGGGGGTCGTGCCCGAGTCCGCGGCCCAGTCCTGGTGTGGACTCCAGCCCTCGCCCCCAGCGGCTGCCGCTTCGTCCTCACTGCTGTTACTCGGAGCGTTCCCCATGGGTCCTCCGTTTGGGGCGCAGGGCTCTGCCGCCGCCGCCGCTGCCTCCCAGCCTCGACCTGTCAACCTCCGACAGCACCCAGCGGGCGGGGACAGGGAGGAGACGACAGCGGCAAGAGCAGCTTCCGGTTCCCTGGCCGTCAAGCGAGGACTTCTGTCGCAATGGCACCGTCAAGCGTACTCTACCAGTTTACGACACCTACAGGAGGACAACTGCAGCAAAGGGTGGAATCCTAATTTCCAAGGGAGCGCGTCTGTCATAATGTTTACGTCATCCTGCAGCCTACCTTGCTGCCATTTTTGTTGGGGGCGGATAAATTCTTAAGAGACGGTCTTTCGCTTGCTCCGCCTTCTCGGCGTTCCTCCACGGTCACAAGCTATGCTGAAAAAGTATGCGAAAGAGTCGGAGCCTGGGAGGGAGCGTTTCGCCAAAACTGAGTCGCATCATGACGTCACGGTCGGCGCCTCCGCCATCTTAGTTATGGGCAGAGAGGCGGCAACTTTGGAAGTGTAGCGTGGGTGCGGTTGTCTTAATGCAGAGACGCAGCTGGCGTGGGCTCTTGGTGAGCCTGGCCGTAGCGGCTGCGGCCGTGATAACAGCACGGCTGATGGGCTGGTGTGGTTCTTCCGCTGGCTTTCGCCTTTTCATACCCGAGGAACTGTCGCGCTATCGCGGCGGCCCGGGAGACCCGGGCCTCTACTTGGCGTTGCTCGGCCGCGTCTACGACGTGTCCTCTGGCCGGAGACACTACGAGCCCGGGGCCCACTATAGCGGCTTCGCAGGTATTAGGGTGTCCAGGTCCCTTCCTCTGCGCGGGTCTGTAACCGCCTGCTCGTCGTTCGCTTTCATTTACTCATCCGTTTGCCCGACCGCCACATTTGCCCTACGCCCCTGGCGGCCGCGACTCTGTCTCACCGTGCTTCGGTCTCCGGCTGGGCGGGCCCATGGCCGGCTGTTCTGGATTGTACCCTCCTTGTTACCGCCGTGACCTATGCTTGAGAAACAGGTCTTGTGTCTCGTTACCCATTACCTAGATTCGGGAGCCCGGGGAAGCTTTGCGCCGGACGTCCTGGAGGGCCTTCACGGCCCCGAAACGAGACGCTCTCCCTACTCTCACAGTTCCCCTAATTTCAGCCCCCACTGTGTGTCGCGACCCCAGGTACCCTTCGTGCATCCCAGGATTTCCCTAAAAAAAGGTGTCCCTTTGGTTTGTATTGTTCTGACTCCCAGTACAAATGCGCTCGTGTGCCTTTAAAAAAAAAGACTATAAGGTTAGAGCATGGGATAAGGTCATCTTTATATAGTTTTAGTAAGAAACATGGGACCTGTCGGCCCAGCTACTCAGACGGCTGAGGCAGGAGGGTTACTTGACCCTAGGATATCCCAGCAGGCCTGGGCAGCATAAGGAGACCCTATCTCAAAAACAAAACAAACAAAAAAAGGCGGCAACAGGGGCTGGAGATATAGTTAAGCGGTAGGAGTGCCTGCCTGGCAAGAACAAGATCCTGAGTTCAATTCCCGGTACCAAAAGAAAAAGAAATTTTGGGCGGGAGGTACAGCTCAGTGGCACAAGCCTGCCTGGCAAGTGCAAGGTCCTGAGTTCAATTCCCGGTACAAAAAAAAAAAAAAAACAGACTAAAGCATGCATATTAGACCTCAAGCAATTTTAAATTTTTTTGTACTGTACCCATTTTACACCGAGGAGATTGAAAAGTATGATTTGCATAAAATTTTCACAACTAAGCCCTGACAGGACCAGAACCACCAGCCTAGTCCTAGATATTGCCTTACCAGCTGAAAATATTGACCACTACCAAGAAAGTGGCCGTGTGTGTGTGTGTGTGTGTGTGTGTGTGTGTGTTAATAAATAAACATTTTCCACTCTACTTTTTCTTAGGGGAATTGGAAAGCTGCCTCTGGCACATAAATACAAGTCACCTCCTTCCCTGCAAGCTAAACTGTCCTGCAGGGAACAGGACCGAAACAGGGCTACCGTGAGTTAAAAGCACAGCTGGGACTGGAACCAAGGTTTTTTGAAGGCATTTTCTATCGGTTGAAGGCATTTTCTGGTTCACTGTTTTGCCAGTGCTGGGGCAGCTGTGTGGATGCATGCAGAAATGTGGGCATAAAACCGTACATTATGGGATGACATCAGCAATGTGCAGTCCTGTCTGGTGAGCTCCTGGGTGTCAGATTTTCGTTACACATCTGTTTCCTGACCGCTCCCACATGCCCTGTGTTGTGCCAGATGCTGAGGAGTAAGAACTGTCTCAGGCGTGTTCATTTATGCATTTGTTCATTCAGTCATTTTTTTTAAATTTTGTGTGTGGTACTAGGGATTGAACTCAGGGCCTTGTGCGTGCTAGGCAAGTGCTGTAATGTTGAGATACAGTGGGCCCACGCAATCCATGGGGGATTAGGTTCTTAGAGCACCTGCAAGTTGTGAAAAACTGAGTTTCAGATATGGTCAGAAAAATGCCCATGAGTGCCTATTTTTATAGGTTAAACCTTAAATATCCTGTGTCTCCCGAAGTTACGTAACTGTCTTGGTTACTTTTCTCTCGTTGCTGGGACAAAATATCTGACGCCCAAAATTAAGGAAGGAAAGGTTTATTTTGCTTACAGTTTGTGAGGGTTTCAGTCCATATTTGGCACATTACAAGGCAGAGTGGCACATGGCAGAGAGCTACAGCTCCTGGTGCAGAACACAGCAAAGCAACGAACACAGCAAAGCAACAACCACAGCCAGGGCGGAATGGGGGAGGAATGGCCTCAAGCACTCTTTTCCTCTCCCTTACATATGCAAACTATCTACCCCCGGGCAGGTGCAGCTCTCACACCCATATTCAAACTCTAATAGCCTGCCCCATGGCCGCATGAGGCTTTGGGGGGACACACAGACATAAACCATAACAGTAACTTAATTTAATACTATATTAATAAAGCCTTAGGAGGCATGGGACATTTTGGTGGCTCCTTTGGGATCTTAGGGCATTAAGAAGAACGAAAGGAGAACATTCCAGATAGCTACATGGCATGGAACCTGTTATGATTCGGGAGTGCAGGGGTGGAGATGCGTTACAGGGTGGCGGCCATCGGCAGCAAGGAGAACTGAATAACACTCTCCAGTTGGCTACTTGCAAACCTCTGGCCAAAATACAATGGCCGAGGATATTTGCAGTTTCCACAAAACTGCTGGGGTTTCCACAAACAGTTGTTAGTTCTAAGGAAGAACCTGCAAATGACTGAGGCCAGGAACTCTGAACTGTGACTTCACAGAGGTATAATGTACATGTCCATGCTTTAAATATTATTTAAATTTTGAGACAAGGTCTCACTAAGTTGGCCATGAACTTGCAATCCTCCTGGCTCATCCTCAGGAGTAGCCAGGATTACAGGAGTGTGCTACAATGCCCAGCTACTTTTATTGAAAAACAATGTGTAGAAAATCTGCCTTTTTTTTTTTTTTTGAGACAGGGTCTTATGTACTCCAGGCTGGCCTTGAAAGCAATCATCATGCCTCAGCCTCCTGGGTGCTGGGTTTACAGGCATGCGCCACCTTGCTAATTTGCCCTTTTAAAGTGTACAATTTGGTGGGTCTTAAAAAATATAATCAGCCGGGTGTGGTAGTGCACACCTGTAATCCCAGCACTCAGGAAGCAGAGGCAGGAGGATCATTGCGAGTTCGAGACCAGCCTGGGCTACAAAGTGAGCTCAAGGCCAGCCTGAACTGCATAGCAAGACCCTGTCTCAAAAAGACAAAAAATATATATAATCAGAAATTTGCATAAACACCATGACTATCTAATTCCAGAATATTATCACCTCAAAAAAAAAAAAACTCCATATCTAATACCAGTCCCAGCCCCTGGCAAGTCCTATATACTTTCTGCTTCTAGACATTTGCCTCTTCTGGGCATTTCATGTAAGTAGCATAATACATGTAGCCCTTTTTTTCTCCACATAACCTTTCAATGTTCATCAATAGCGTATCAATATTTCATTCTTTTTTTTTTTTAAAGGCAGGATCTTACTGTATAGTCCTGGCTGGCCTTGAACTCACCGTCTTCCTGGCCCAGTTTCTCAGGTGCTGTGATTATAGGCACGAGCCACCACCCCCAGCACTTTCCTTTTTATGGCCTATTTTTATTCCATTGTATAGATATACCACATTTTATCTATATTTCAATTAGTGGACTTTAGAGTTAGTTCTACTTTTTGCTTATTATGGATAATGCTGCTATAAATGTCTATAAGGTTTTTTGTGAATATGTGTTTTTAGTTCTCCTAGGTATATACCTAGAAGTGGAGTTGCTAGGTCATGTGCTACTCTGGGTTAAGCTTGTTGGTAAACTGCCAAACTGTCTTCTAAAACGGCTGTACCATTGTATATTCCCACCAGGAATACATTAGAATTTTAATTCCTCCATATACACCCTTACCAAAAGTTTTTAATTTCTTTTTTTATTTTAGTAGGGCTGGAGTCATATTTCATTGTGGCATTGATTATTTGTATTTTACTATTGCCTAATGATGTTGAGCGTCTTTTCATGAGCTTGTTGAGTGCATGTTTTTTGCAGAAATGTCTATTAATATTTTGACTTTTTTTTTGAGACAGGATCTTACTATGTAGGTAGATCTTGCTGTGTAGGTAGTCCAGGCTGGCCTTTTTTTTTTTTTTTTTTTTTTTAAATTTTTTTGAGACAGGGTCTCCCTATGCAGTTTAGGCTGGCCTTGAGCTCACTTTGTAGCCCAGGCTGGTCTTGAACTCGCAATGATCCTCCTGACTCAGCCTCCCAAGTACTGGGATTACAGGCGTGCTCCACCATGCCTGGCTTGATCGTGTTCTTTGATGTGCAAAAGTTTTAAATTTTGATCAAGTACAGTTTATCTTGTTTTTTCCCTAGTTGTTTGTGCTTTTGGACATTGTCCAACCAAAATCACAAAGATTTATACCTATTTTCTTTGCTTTCTTTTTTTTTTTTTTTTTTTTTTTTTTTTTTGAGGTAGGATCTCACTATGTAGTTCAGGCTGATCTTGAACTCACTATGTACCCCAGGCTGGCCTCCAACTCAAAGTAATCCTCCTGCTTCAGCATCCCGAGTGCTGGGATTACAGGCATGTGCTACCACATCTGGGTATACCTGTTTTCTTCTAAGAGTTTTATAGTTTTAGCTGAAATACTAAGGTCTTATATGTATATTGAGTTAATTTTTATATATGGTATGAGACGGGGTCCAGTTTTGTTCCTTTGAATGTGGCTCTTCCATTGTCTCAGCATCATTTGTTGAATAAAACTTCTTTCACTGAATTGACTTGGCACCCTTCTTAAAAATCAGTTGTCTATAAATGTATGGATTTCATTGAGTACTTACTGGGAATTTACTAAAGATCAGGCACTGTACCAGATACTAGGGAATCAATAGTAAATGAATTTGGTGTACTTTTTTTCCCCTGATAAAAATTAACATACTACCCTGGTACAGTGGCTCATTCTTATAATCCTAGCTGATAAGGAGGCTGAGGTAGGAGGATCTCAAATCAACTCAGCCTGAGCAACTTGGTAAGATTGTCTCTCAAAGTAAAAAATAAATAAATAAATAAAAGACTGAGGATATAGCTCAATAGTGGAGTGCTCCTGGGCTTAATCTCGAGTGCTGCTGCCCAAAATTATTGCTTTTTAAAAAAGACCATCCCTCCCCCCCCCAAAAAAACTATCCAGGTGTGATGATGTATTCCCAGCACTTAGGAGGCTGAGGCAGGAGGATTTCCATAAGTGTGAGGTCAGACTGGGCTACATAGTGATTTCATTGTCAGCCTAAACTACATGAGACCCTTTCTCAAAACAAAACAAAATAAAACAAACACAAAATAAACAAATAAAAAAGACTAGTAAAAAAGACATTAAATATATACCACACACATTAAGTATTGACCTTAAGTAGTTACCATGAATTACAATTAAGGAATGATTTTTGTGATGTGTCAAAAGTAAAAAGTACCAGTTTTACCAGATGCCCCTAAACTAGTGGGAGAGGAGAGAGAGAGAGCGAGCTCAGTGATCAGTGAAGGATGTGGGCAGACAAGGTGGGTGGCAGTTGGTACAAGGCACTGTGTGACAGATTAAGGAATTAGGGTATTGCCATAAAGCAAAGGAAGTGAACTTACGATGGAAATAACAGTCTAGGTCTGGGGATGTAGCTCAGTTTGAGAGTGCATGGCCTCTGAGTGCAAAGCCCTGGATTTGATCCCCACACTGCAAAAAAAGGAGGAGGGGCCGGGCGTGGTGGTGCGTGCCTGTAGTCCCAGCACTTGGGAGGCTGAGGCAGGAGGATCCTTGTGAGTTGGAGACCAGCCTGGGCTACAAAGTGAGCTCAAGTCCAGCCTGAACCGCATAGTGAGACCCTGTCTCAAAAAGACAGGAAAAAAAAAAAGGAGGAGGGATCTTAAGTGTTCTGTGGAGAATATACTAGTGAGACAAGAATGAAAGTGGGGAGACCCAGTAGGGTTCTGCTGTGGCAGATCAGATTGGACCATGACAACCTGGGCTTGCTTGGTGGTTGGTAGAGACAGGCGGACAAATACAGGAACTCGGGAAGAAAACACAGAAGTGGGGCGCCTATTAAATGTGAGGGGTGAAGGCGTCGAGGACTGCACTCCTGGATTGAGCAACTGCTTGGCATTTACAGACAGGGACGCTGGAGGGGATGCAGGCTTCTTGGGGCCGAGTTGCTGATGACCGTTACTCATCATGGACATTTGGAACTTAGGATGTCTGTAAGAGCTGGGGGATGTGGACGGGCGGTGCTCGGGAAAAGTCTGAGCTGACACAGCTTTGGTGATCTTCAGCACAGAGGTGGCATTTGAAAGTCTGTGAAGGGAGAGACTGTGGACCGTAACTGGCCCCTGAGGCTGGTGAGCAGTGAGGAGCTAGAGAAGGAGGAGGAAGCCAGGAGGGTAGGGTCAGGGCAGCCAAAGGCCGTGGGCGGCTATGCTATGTGTTGCTGAAAGATGATGAACGCCAGAGCTGTGTGTTCCAGACCCAGAAGCATCTGTTCCAGAGAAGGCGCGATTACATTTCCCTGGGGCTAAGGTTGTCAGGAGATGTTTTTCAGAAAGTAGATTGAAATTTTTTGTGTGTGATTCTGGGAATCGAACTCAGGACTTTGCACAGCACTGTACTATTCATGCTAGAACTACATCCCCAACGCTTTTTATTTTTTTACTTTGTGAGCCAGGCTTGCTAAGTTTCCCAGGCTGGGCTCAAACTTGTGCTCTTCCTGCTTTGGCCTCCTGAGTAGCTAGGGTTACAGGCATGGGCCACCATGTCCAGCTAGAAAACAAATTCTTGGGTTGGTACAACTGGATCTGTTGTAAACTTCTCTCCTGCAGGCCGAGATGCATCCAGAGCATTTGTGACTGGAGACTACTCTGAAGCAGGCCTGGTGGATGATGTAGCTGATTTGTCCTTCTCTGAGATGCTGACCCTTCAAAACTGGCTGTCATTTTATGAGAAGAACTACGTATTTGTTGGTAGGTATTCCACAGGTCACTTCCATAGGTGACTTATTAATGGAATAAATTTTATAAGTTGAATTTAAAAGTTTATGTCAAAAGTAGGGTTCTGAGCCAGGCGCACGCCTGTAATCCCAGCACTCAGGAAGCTGAGGCAGGAGGATTGTTGGGAGTTTGAGGCCAGCCTGGGCTACCAAGTGAGCTGAAGGCCAGCCTGAATTGCATAGAGAGACCCTGTCTCAAAAAGACAAAACAAACAAACAAACAAAAAAATATATAGGTTTCACTTGGTTGTCTTGCAACTGTTTCCAAGGGGCCAGGATTCCTTAGGGCTTGCCCTCGAGGTTAAAATCTGAAAAATAGGGCTGGGGAGTGCTTGCCTCGTATATGTGAGCCCCTAGGTTTGATCCCCAGGGCCACAAACTCTACCCGCCTCCCCTTCCCCTGCCAAAAACAAGTCTGAAAATTAGCCCTGGAATTTTCACTTTAAATTCTGTTAGCCCCAGAAGAAAATGGATGGGGTACCTATTTCCCTCACTGTCAGTCTTGGGGGAGGATTGCCAAGCCCTTTACTTTGGCCTCAGTTGCCTAAAGCCAGTGGTGGCCTACACCATCCCTGAACAGCAAGCCCCAAGAGTGTAGCTACCTTATTTCATTGTGTTCAATGCATCTGGCTTCAGCTTACAGCCAGGAAGGTTTGAAGCCTAAATTAATGTATAGTTTTGATAATTCCCTTTTATTTTATTTATACAAATATAAATTTTTTTTTGGAGACAGGGTCTTGCTATGTAGTTTAGGCTGGCCTTAAACTTACTGTGTAGCCACCAGGCATGGCGGTGCAGGCCTGTAATCCCAGCACTCGGGAGGCTAAGGTAGGAGGATTGTCACAAGTCGGAGACCAGCCTGGGCTACAAAGCGGGCTCAAGGCCAGCCTGAACTGCATAGTGAGGCCCTGTCTCCAAAAGACAAAAAACAAAACAAAACAAAATAAACTTACTGTGTAGCCCAGGCTGGCCTCAAATTTGCAGCAGTTCTTCTGCCTCAGTCTCCCAGGTACAGGGATTTCAGGTGTTTGCCACTGTGCCCGGCCCAATATATTTATTTTTTGAGACAGGATCTTGCTGTATATCCCAGGCTGCCCTTGAACTTACTATTATAGCCCAAGCTACTCTTTAACTCATAGTTATCCTCCTGCCTCAGCCTCCTCCTCCAGAGTGCTATAATTACAGATGTGCACCACCACATTGGGCGCCTTTCTTTTTCTTTCTTTCTTTCTTTCTTTCTTTCTTTCTTTCTTTCTTTCTTTCTTTCTTTTTCTTTTTTTCTTTTTCTTTTTCTTTTCTTTTCTTTTCTTTTTCTTTTTCTTTTTCTTTTTCTTTTTCTTTCTTTTTCTTCTTCCTTCCTTCCTTATTTTGGTTTTTTGAGACAGGATCTCACTGTGAATTTTAAGCTGGGCTTGAACTCACTATGTAGCCCAGGCTGGGCTCAAACATGGTGATCCTCCTGCCTCAGCTTCCCAAGTGGTGGGATTATAAACATGTGCCACCATACCCAACTCTTTTCCCTGTTTCTGATACCTCTGATCATCTGCTTCTGTCATGAATGTTTGAGTAACCTTTTCTGAGGCCAGTAGCATTTTTACTCATTCCTCTGTTCCCTCCACGTCCAACTGGCCAGGGCTATTTTCATAACATCTAAACTTGTGCCTTTCCAATTCCAATCCCCGCCTCATCATCACTGACCTCTGTCATCCTAACCTCTGGCACACACTTCTTTATCTGGCACACATTGTTCCTGAGACCACAGCCACGTCTGCTGTAAAGGAGCTGACCTCTGACCAGCTGACCGTCTGCACTTTAAAGGCCTGGTTCTTGCTGTTTCCCATGAGGTTGCCAAACATCAGTTGAAACATTGCTGGATTAATAAAGAAAATGCAACATAAAGCAATGAGAATGAGCAAAAAGATTCTAGGTCCCTCTGTACTGAGATATGGGAGGCTAACTAGAAGTGTTCCTGAGGTGACAAGTGAACCAGTCATATTGGAGCAATGTCTAAGGTGCGTGCGGAGAAGGCAAATGGTTGGAAATGCCTGAGAAGGATTTTAATTAAACTCAGGATGTACTTGAATGTCTGCATTTGGTAAATTGTGGCTCTGTGCCTCACGGGGGCCATGAGTGAGGACGATACAGTTCCTGCCCCATCTGCAGGGTGAGGACCAGGTGAAGGGATGAAGGTGTATTGTTAGGACACAGACTGAACTGAAGGTAGTCAGGAAGTCCTGGTGGCAGCCGCACAACTGGGCCTCAAGGGAAAATGTGATGACTTTTGTGCTCTGGATACAGAACTGGCTTTAGAGACTGAACTAGTAACCACTGTTCTCGCCGGGTGTGGTGGCACACTCCTGTAATCCCAGCACTCAGGAGGCTGAGGCAGGAGGATCATTGCGAGTTTGAGACCAGCCTGGGCTACAGAGTGTGCTCAAGGCCAGCCTGAACTGCACAGTGAGACCCTGTCTCAAAAAGGCAAAAGACAAAAACAAAAACAAAAAAACCCACTGTTCTCATTGTGCAGTGCCTCCCTTCTCTCCGCCCTTTTCTGCTGTCCTTATGGTCTCATGTCTAAAACTCATCAGGACAGGCTTGTCACTGTATAATATGGCTCCCCTCTATAACTGAAAGTTCTGTGCCAGCCAACCCAACAACTGAGGGCCTGGGACACTTCTGGGCCCTTCATTTATTCATCTAACAAGTGGAGTGACTGCTCTGTAGAAGGTGTTTTGAGTGCTGGGCCTCCCTGGTGGTGAGAGTCATACTATAAAAAACACAGAGAATAACTCCAGATAGGGTTCCAAATCAGTCAGTGGTGTGACTCTGGAAGAGAATTCAGGCAGAGGGAGCATCAGTGCCTAAGGTGGGGAGGCATGAAACATGGTCAGGGAATAGAGAAGAATGTGCTGGAGCTGACTATAAATGGAAGAGGAAGTAGCTTAGGAAGAAACAAACAGAAGTCAAATGGTAGAGCAGGGCACCATGGCCCATCCTGTAATCCAGGTGAGGCAGGAGGGGGCTGAGCCAGGAGGATGGCAAGTTTGAAGCCAGCCTGAGTAACTTAGTGAGACGTTGTCTCAAAATAAAGAGGGCTAGGGATGTACCTCAGTGCTGGAGTGCTTGTCTAACATGTCCTGGGTGCCGTCCTCAGTACCACAAATCAAATGGTTATAGGTCTCAGAGGCTCAGATAAGAAGCTTATATTCTATTGCAAAAAAAAGAAAAAAAAAAATGGGGCATGGTGGTGTGCCCTTGTAATGCCTGCACTCAGGACTGAGGCAAGAGGATCCCCGCAAGTTGTAGGCCAGGACCCTGGCTACACAGAGAGTTCAACGCCTGCCTGGACTACATAGCAAGACTCTGTTGCAATCCCCCCACCCAAGTTTGTATTTTATCCATGTGCTTTAAGAAGCTATTAGGGGCCGGACGTGGTAGCATACACCTGTAATCCCAGCACTCAAAAGGCTGAGGCAGGAGGATCTTTGCAAGTTCGAGACCAGCCTGGGCTACCAAGTGAGCTCAAGGCCAGCCCGAACTGCATAGCTAGACCCTGTCTCAAGAAAAAAAAAAAAGCTATTAGAGAGTTTTGATCATGCATAAAAATGACATATGACTCATGTTTTAAAAGAGCACCCAGGGGCAGGGAATGTGGTTCAGTGGTAAAGCTCTTGCCTTGCATGCACAAGGCCCTGGGCTTAATCTCCAGCACCACCAAAAAAATAAAATGAAATTAATAATAATAATAATAATAATAATAATAATGATAATAATAATAAAAGAGCACCCAGTTGCTTTGTGGAGAGAGAACTATAGGAAGAGCTAACCTGAAACAGAGACTAGTTGGGAGGTTTATGCAATATATCCTGGTTTGGATTAGGATGATAACAATGGAAATGGAGAAGAGTAGACCAAATTGGGATATACTTTAGAGCTAAGACTGACAAGTTCGAATGGCTAGGCGGGAACCAAGGAAGGTGCATATTTGAATGTGAGAGAGTCAGAGATCCAGGGCTCATCCAGATAATAGAAGACAGAAGTGACAAACAGGCTTGGGAAAGTCAGGGAAGGGGCTTGAGAACATGGACTAATTAATGGACTTGCTGAATACATGTAGCACTGGAATCCCAGCCAGTTCCTGGCGGTTGTAGAGGTTGGACCCACATGGCTGGGGGCAGGTGTCCACATTACCTCCTGGCTCAGTTTCTTTCCTTGTTGCTGAAACAGAATATCCATACCCAGAATTAAAGGGGAAAAGGGTTATGTGGCTACAATTTGGCTCACAGTCTGTAGAGGTTTCAGTCCATAATCGGCTGGCTCCCAGGCTGGGTGGCATGACAGACAGGCCATGCAGAGGAGAACCAGTTCATGGCAAGTATAAGACAGCATAAACAAGCCAGCAAGGGATCTTAACAGCATCTTTCTGTCCCCTTTATCTTATCCGGAGTATTTAGGACAGGTAGCACTCACACTCTTAACCCTAGTGCCCTTGATCCTAGCACTGCACCAAGAATCAGTTCCAGCATCACACACTCTAGATCCAGCCATTTCTGAACAAGCCCCACCTCTGACCTCATGAGGCTTTGGGGGGACATCTAGACACACACCCTAACACGTCCTACTTGATCCAGCCTCCCAGAGGGCTTTCTGTTACTTCCATTGCCCTGTGACAGGGCATTGGCCCTGCAGGACTTAAACACATCAGGTCCCTGCACCCAGGAAAACTGTGCCAGCCCCTTCCTCCAGGCCTTTTTTGCTGCTGGCCTACAGGCTATGGAGCACTTGGTCACTGCCTCCACTACCTCCATAGCTTAGACTTTAAGAAATTTTAACAGGCATTTTAAGTGAAAAAAAGTTTCCACTTACATGTATAAAACTGAATGACCGGGCCAGAAGAGAGACAAGATACCTAACATCCACAGCGTAAAGGAGGAGAGGATTATATTTTTTTTGTTGGGGGGGGTGTTTGGTACTGGGAATCGAACTCAGGACCTTGCACTTGGTGGCCAGGCACTTATGCTGCTGAGCTATCTTCCCCGGCCCGAGGATTATATTTTGGCTCACGCTTTCAATTTCTGGTCAGCAGGCTCTAAGGCACAAAGCCCTGGAGGAAGGGGCTGGCACAGGAAGGCTGCTCACATCACGGTGACCAGAAAGCAGAAAGGGAGGGAGGAGCAGGAGAAGGGGATGCACAGATGCCTTCCAGGTCCCTGCCCAATGGCCTGCCTCTTCCAACCAGGTCCCACCTTGCAGCAGCACCAGTGGAGGAATCCACCAGTGAGCACAAAGCCCCCACGCTCCCCCACAGCCGTGCCTCTGAGCACCTGCGATGAGGGGGGATATCTCAGATCTAAACCTTAACAGAGTCAGACCGCTTACCAGCCTCATGGACTTCCTCAGGCACCCAGTCTCCCGATTTCTCTCCTACAAATATGAGAACAGTTACTTCTCTCTCGTGGGTTTGCTGTGAGGACTAAACGTGTTGGGAAAGTCCTAGCATAGTGCCTGTTACTGAGTAAGTGCTCGAGAAATGACTGATTTACACTTACATAAGGCAAAAACAGTTTGACATTAGAAGAAATGTGCCACAAAAACACATCAGCCAATAAGCCATTTTTTTGTCATGTATTCATGTATGCCCAAGCACTGCAGAGACTGATAAAATCACCCACGCGGCTCCACGCTTAGCGAACCAGTGGTGGGAGGTAAGGAAGATCTGATCATTTCTGTACCGAAGGACTCTGTGGCTAGCACGGGATGCTTTCATCTGCAGTCGTTTAAGATGAATGGCTGGGATAGAAGGCCCCAAAGTGCCCCTAGGGCTGGGGTGCAGCTCAGTGCTTGCGTGCTTTACTGGCACGTGCGAGGCCCTGCATTCCATCCGAAGCTTCACACACCTGAACATTTCCCCCAAAGCAAGTTCTTAGTGAGCACACAGCAGGTTGTTGGGGGTGCCTTGCAGTCCAAACCTGTGAGAATTTGAGCCTCACTCCAAGCGCTTACAGAGCTCACTGCCACTGTTACTCTGACCCCAGCCTCCTGTCCGCACAGGAAGGGTGATAGGAAGGTTCTACGGAGAGGATGGGCTGCCCACCCCGGAGCTGACCCGCGTTGAAGCCGCGATGGCCAAGGGCTTAGAGGCTGATAAACAGGCCCAGCGAGAGAAGCAGAAGTTCCCCCCATGCAATGCTGAGTGGAGCGCCGCCAAGGGCAGCCGGCTCTGGTGTTCGCAGAAGAGGTAAGCAGGCTTCCCTCCCGCTCCCTTCCGCCTGTCTCCCAAATCACAACTTCCAGGCCATTCTGTCCATATTATTCAGGGAACCCATGAATTATTAACTCGGGAAGTTTTTCAAAATACCTATGGGCTGTGGTAGTGTCTCTCACCTTTGGCTGTACGTAAATTCTGGGGAATTTAGAAATTACTGGCGGTGTCACTTTTCTCTGGATAACTAAAAGAAAACACGAGGGTTGAAATTTATCTTGCGGCACCCCCATCCCCAAGCCACCCTGCTGAAGGAAGAACCTTGGTCTGAGAAAGAGAAAGCACAAGTACCATTTCCTGCTTGCTTCAGCCTGTTCAGCTATCCATGGGCCCGGGCTTCCTGTCTTCGTCAGCACAAATCTTCCTGCCTGCAGTGGAGAGGGACAGGGAGGTGGGCCCGTGGCGGGATGGCTACAGAGGGTGCTTTAAAAGCACTGCACATTCTGACATTCCAGGAAGTGCAGGCTACATGGAAAAGCCTTTTCATATAAGAACAAAGTACGGTAAGCTAGACTAGGAATGATGCCACAGTGATTACTTCATATACTATATATATATATAATTTTTTTCTTTTTTTTTCCCATCCTTCTTTTCTCCATTCCCCCATACCAGTTTCTCTTTCTTTTCGAAGTTTCTTCCCATTTTACCATATCTATTGTACACTTTGGATCTTATTTACTCTTTCAGCTTCTCACACTGTGGAGGCAATACAATGTTTACACATGTGGGTCTGGTTTATTTCACTCATGAGTATGGTCTCAGATTGCATTCATTTATCTATAAAAGTCTCCAGGCTGGGCGTGGTGGTGCATGCCTGTAATCCCAGCATCGGGAGGCTGAGGCAGCGGGATCATTGCAAGTTCAAGGCCAGCCTGGGCTCCATGAGTTAAAGGCCAGCCTGAACTGCATAGTGAGACCCTGTCTCAAAAAGACAAAAAAAAAAGTCTCCAGTTTATTCTTCAATATGGCTGAGTGTACTACTCCATTGTACAAAAAGACCACATCTTTTTTAGATCCAATTCCTCAGTTGATGGGCATTTGGGTTTTTTCCAAGATTTAGCTATTACAAATTGTGCTGCAGTGAACATGGGTACACATATATCGCTGTGGTATGATGTTTTTAATTCTTCTGGGAAAACAGAAGGGGAATAGCTGGGTCGAATGGGACCTCCAATCCTACTGTTCGGGGAATCTCCATCCTGATTTCCACAGTGGTTGCACCAGCCTACACTCCCACCAGTAGTGGAGAGGGGTTCCTTTTTCCCCACAGCCCCTTCAGCATTTGTTATTGGCTGATTTCTAGATATTAGCCATTCTTTCTGGGGTGAGATGGAATCACAGTGTTGTTTTAACTTACCACTGGTCATCTCTCAAATGACCAGTGATACTAAACATTTTTTCCTATTTTTTTTGCTGTTTGTATTTATCTGAGGTGTGTATTCATTCTCAAATGCCCATTTTTGGATTGGGTCTTTAAATTTAAGAGGCATGTTTTTTTTGAGTTCTTTTTTTACTTGAGTTTTCCTTTGGTTACATATTGAGGGCAAAGGTGAGCTGGACTCGCAGTCAAAACAGATAGGGGTGAGGAAGGAAGAGGGGCCATGGCTGGGTTGGAGAGGGAGGCAGGCCCTCCTCAGCCCCTCCACCCCAAGGAACACGTGTCTACATGGCAGCCCCTCAGTCTCATCTCTCCCACCCGCCACAGCCCCAAACAAAAGGAGAAGCCCCCTCCCCCAGGGGCTCCTCCCCACCGCCCCCAGCCTGGGCTGTACATTCAGTGGTTTGCAGCAGCGCTATGCCTCGGAGCCACAGGATGGGGGCGATGGCCCATCAGTCTCGATTGGACAGTGGCAGTGACCCGAGTCTGTTGGTCCATCTTGGGACCCACAGTTTGTGCCATTTGTTTTTCTGAGGTATAGTACACAACCCTGCCAAAGCCACTGCCCAATCAGAAACAATCCCCCAAATACCAGAAACTAAAAACTGGCTCTTTCCATCTTGCCCTCTGATTCGTCAGTCTGTCTCCTGTGTAGCCCTTGCTCTGTCTGCTTTGCTGGGACCCAGGGCTGCTGCCAGGGACCTCACTCCAAATTGAGTTCTTTATATATTCTCAATAGTAATCCTTTGTCTGAGGAACAGCTGGAAAACATTTTTTTTTCCCACGTTGTGGGTTTTCTTTTCACTCTGTTGGTGGTTTCCCTTGTGGTGCAAAAGCTTTTTAAATAAGAAGAGATCCCGGTTGTTGATTCTTTGTGATAGTTCCTGTGTGATCAGGAATTCAGCAGTGAATTGTTTAGGGCCTGGGCTTTTCTTTGTTGGTAGGTTTTTAATTACATTTTTGATTTCATTGATCGATATTGGTTTCTTTAGGATTTTTATATCTTCTTGATTCAGCTTTCATATGTGTCTGGGTATCTGTCCATTTCATCTGCATCTTCCATGTCATTAGAATACAAATTTTCAAAGTAGGTATAGATGATCTAGATTTCTGCAGGGTCCATTGTGATTTCATTGTTTCATTCCTAATTGCATAGATTTGAGTCTTTTCTTTGGATAAGGTTGGCTAATGGTTTGCTGATTTTATTTAATCTTTCAAAGAACCAACTCTTTGATTCACTGATTCTTTGTTTTTTTTTTTTTTTTAGTCTCCACTGTGTTAATTTCTGCTCTGATCTTTATAATTTCCTCCCTTGTACAAGCTTTTGACTTGGCCTGCTCTTTTTTTTCTAGATGTTTGAGGTTCACCATTAAGTTGTTTATTTGTGTTTGTTCTATTTTCCTGATATGGGTATAAATTTTCCTCTTAGGATTGCTGTCATTGTGTCCCATAAATTCCAGTATGTTTTATTGTCATTAGCATTTAATTGTAGAAACTGTCTAATTTCTTCTTCAATTTTGTCTGTGACCCATTGGTTGTTCAGGAGGGTGCTATTTAATTTCCATGTGTTTATCAAGTTTTGTGGTTTCTTTTACCATTGATTTTCAATTTTGTTGCATTATGGTTTGATAATATGCATGGGATAATTTTGATTTCTTTGCATTTACTTAAGCATATTTTGTGCACTACCGTGTGGTCTGTTTTGGAGAACATCCCATGTGCAACTGAGAAGAATGTGTATTCTGATGTTGTGAGGTGGAACACTGTACATCTACTAAGTCCATTTGTTCAGAAGTTTGGTTTGGTTCTAATATTTCATTGTTGATTTTTTGTCTGGTTGATCTGTCTTTTTGTGACAGTGGGGTATTGAGGCCCCCCATTATAATTGTATTAGTGCTTATTTGATTTTCCATGCCCACTAATATTTGTTTTATATAGTTGAATGCACTGGTATTTGTTGCATACATATATGTGATTGTTATCTCTTCCTTTTGGATTGTTCCCTTTACAAGGATGTAGTGACCTTCTTTATCTCTCTTAATCAGTCTTAGCCTGAAGTTTACTTTACAAATAAAATAGCTATCCCTGCTTTTTTCTGGATTTCTGTCACGTGGAGTATTGTTTTCCATCCTTTGACTATGAATTTCTTTTTTAATTAAATGTGTTTCTTGTAGGCAGCATATTTTTGGATCTTGCTTCTTCAGCCATTCTGCCAGTCAGTGTCTTTTGATTGGTGAATTGAGACCATTAACATTGATGGTTATAGCTGATATGTGACTTATCCTTGTCATATTATTTTCCTATCATTGGCTCCCCCTCTTTTCTTTTTTCCTCCGTTTGTTTGCCTTGCCTAGTGAATTCCTTCTTTTGAGATTCATGGAGTTGTAGTCCTTGTTATCTCTTTGTAGAATGTCCTTCAAAATATTTTGGAGTGCTGGTTTGGTGGTCATAAATTTCCACAGATGTTCTTTGTCATGGAAGTATCTTACTTCTCTATCAGTTTTATAAAGATAGTATTGTGGGGTATATCAATCTGGGTTGAAGACTGTTTTCATTTAGAACTTAAATACTTGCTCTCTTTGACTTAAGGGTTTGTGCTGAGAAATCAGATGGGCTTTCCTTTATAAGTGATTTGTTTCTTTTCCCTAACAACTTTTAAGATTCTATTCTTGCGTGGAATTTTTTTTTTCTTGTTTTTTTTTCCAGTACTGGGACTCGATCTCATGACCTCACACTTGCCAGGCAGGCGCTATGCCACTGAGCTAAATCCCCAGCCCCTATTGTGTGGAATTTTTGGAATCTTACTTGGAATGATATGCCTGGCTGTAGAATTTTTTTTTGATAATGGTTAATTGGAGTTCTATATGACTCACTTAACTTTATGTCAAATTCTTTTTCTCTACCAGGGAAGTTTTCTGCCATGACGTCCATGAACAGTTTTTTTTATATCATTTGTGCTATCTTTTGCTTTTTCATTGACTCCAGTCAATCTTAAGTTATTCTTCTTTGCCTCATCTAGCAGCTGCTATATTGATTTCTCATGGTCCCTTGCCATTTTTAAAAAAATCTTTCTTTTCATGATTGCTAACCACAATCCTGTCTTCTATATCTGAGATCCTGTCCTCACATTGGCTTGATCTGTTGCAGATACTTTCAATGGAACTTTTATTCCCCTGGATATCTGCTTGAGTCTGCCTTATGGATTCCATTTCTTTCCTATGCTGAGCATTCATGGCTTCCATAATTTTCTTAAGCTCCTCTATTTTTTTGTTTTTTTTTTTGTCTGTATCTGCTCTAGAGTCACTAAGCATGGTTTTCTTTGTGGATACCATCTCTGCAGTTATCTGAGAATTATTTCTGATTTTATTTTTTCTAGAGCCTCATTCATTTGCTTTGTTGTAATCACTTCGAAGAGGCCAGGTGGGTGGCTTTCAGATTGACCCATTTCACTTCCCCCTGGGTTTGCCTTTAGTAAAGTGGATGTCTAGGGTTGCATCTTGTTTAAGTGTTGTCTCATTTTCTTTTCTTCTGTTTTAGTTTAGTTCCTGGGGTGATGTTTATAAATTGTCTATGGTGGGTTGCTTTATTGCTAGTATTTAGAACCCTTAGGAAATGAGTACATCTCCAAGTTATCTTCCATATGTAGCTGGTTTTGGGGTTTTGAGTCTGTTGCAAGATCCTACCTCTTCAGTTTGGGGGGGATAAGTAGTTGCTGCCTGTTTGGCCCAGCCCCTGGTTCTTTGGCTCTGTGCCACAGTATTTTCTATGACCTGTAGTCAGTCTCAGTCTTCAAATACCAGGAAGAACAGCTGTTTAGAACAATTATGTCACTTTCGGCGATGGTGGTCCCAATGATAATAGCATCCAACACACCCTAGAAAATGACAAACTGAGTTAAGCATTTAACTTGCCACCTTTAACTGTACAAACTATTAGTTAGATTTATATAACAAAATCTGGAAGAAACCAGAACATTGTATGCAGTATGAGAGTCCTTAATATGTCAATTTTGCCCTCAGGGGTTAAAATTTAAATTGGGTTAGGGAGAAAATAGAGAAGTGGAAGAAGAGAAAGAGATTAGAAGGCTGGAGGACAAAGGGGGATCATGTTAACTTTGGGAAACTGGTGTGGAAGAGTTAAGGGAAAGAGAGAAGGAAGAGATAAAAAGAGAAACAGAACTGAACACAACCACAAAGAGGCTATAAACTATACTGCACATTCAGGCTATAAACTATACTGCACATTATGTTCACACTCATATAAGGAGAATGAAGGAGAAAAAAAACAGAAACAAAAAACAAAAACAAAACCACAACAACAAGCCGGGCATGGTGGCGTGTGCCCATAATCCCAGCATTTGGGGAGCTGAGGCAGGAGGATCCTTGTGAGTTTGAGGTCAGCCTGGGCTACAAAGTGAATTCAAGACCAGCCTGAACTGCATAGTGAGATTCTGTCTCAAAAAGACCAAAACAAAACAGAAAACCCACACAACAACCACAAAAAACAAGAGAGAAAGAGAGAAAAAAAAGAAAAAGGTCCGCTTCCAGATTTCTCTGCTGTCACTGGTAGACAGTGTGTGACCGAGTCCTGATCCATAATTTCTCCCAGCAAGCCAGCAGTCGATTTTAGGTGGGGTAGTGCATAATCTCATTGAGCCTGTGCCTTCTGACCAAGATCAGACTCATTCCTCCTGCAGCCCACCTTCTGCGGGCCTGGGCCCAGCTGAGAGCCACTAAATAGAGCCAGTAGCTGCTCTGAGTTCTGAGCTCAACCAGCCCCTCTCCAAAATGGTTCCTGGCCAATCGCTCTCTTGTGCAGGATGACTAAGCCCTCCACACCCACCACCAGCTAGTGCAGTCCTTCATGTCTGCGTGCCTCTCCACTGCTGTGTCTTTCTGTGGAGGCCTCTAGGTACACCAGCACTCACCGTGTGCCCGCAGGTCTGAACCGCTTCTCTTGCACCGTGGGCCCCATCTCAGGGAGAAAGCGCCACCAGCTACCTGCTTCTTCTTCATTGAAGTTTTTCTCTTCACTCTCTCTGCGAGCTTCAATTCTCCCTTCACTTCCTTCCTCCCTCTTGTCTTCCTCACATTGCTATATTCTAGCATCTGGATGGTGACTCTGAGAAGCTCTTTCGGTGCTGCTTACTGCTCCACCATCTTGGTCCTCTCATCCTCAGCTTTTTTTTTTGGTACCAGGAGTTGAACCCACGACCTCACCCTTGCTGGGCAGGCACCGTGCGGCTGAGCTACATCCCCAGGTCTTTAGCTCTTAAGGGGGCAAAGGAAACCAGAAAGTAGACAAACCTGCCAGCCTCAAAGTTAAGAGTACTTGCCTAGGCTGTGTGAGGTCCTGGATTCAGTTTCTAGTACTATGGAAAAAAAGGGTGATGTATAAGTTAGGATTCACTAGAGAAACAGACTTAATATAAAATATACGTATGATTATACAAAGGAGTTACTAAGTGGGCTTATGGCTCCTTGCGGAATCAGAGGTGAAGAATGCAGAATGGTCCCCTGGGTGCTGGAAGGGCTAGCTGAAGGTGGAAGGGCTGGAGCTCACTGTAGTCCTGTACGTGTCAGTGTCAGAAAGTCGAAGGGTCAGCACTGGAAGGCTGAGGAGTCTGCACTGGAAGCCTGAAGGAACTGGAGACAAACATCCAGAGGCACTTCTGAAGACGGGAGCTTCTCCAAAGAAGCAAAGGACGGATGGTCTTCTTTCCCTTTTTATTCCATCCAGGCTACAAGGCTGTTCGTTGGTGCCCTTCCAGATGTGGATCTTCCCTCCCCCATTTGTAGCCTGTGTGTCAGTCATCCACAGACGCACCCAGAGTTTTACTAAGTCGGTTCTTACTCAAGCTGACATGTCAGTTAACCGTCACAGGGGCCTCAGAGTAAGAGTCTATCACTGAGGAGGAACAGGAATGTTTCTGCCATTGCAAAGGGCAGACGGGCCACGTCCCTAAGTGCTGTGTAGACCCATTCTGTTGTACAGGGAAGCTGTTGATTGTGTGGACGAGAGCATAGTCAGAACCACAGGCTTTCAGGAGGCCCAGCTTCTGTATCCTCACCCATTTCCCTTGCCTTAATTTGGGGAGCAGGGCTGGGGAGCGCAATGAAAGGGACCTTGACTGTGCCATCAGCCTGGAGACAGGGGCATTGGCGCTGTGCAGGGCAAGTCAGGAGAGCATAAGGTTCAGGCTGGCTGCTGCAGGACCGTGTCCGGGACAACACCAAGACGGGAAGTGGCACGGCTTCTCCTTTTCATAAGGCCTGGCTTGCTACCTCTCTCTTCTCCAGAGAGAACTGTGAATGAATGCTTTTAAGAAGTCCTCTCTTTCTGTCCTCAGTGGAGGTGTAAGCAGAGACTGGATTGGCGTCCCCAGGAAGCTGTATAAGCCTGGGTCCAAGGAGCCCCGCTGCGTGTGTGTGAGAACAACTGGCCCCCCTAGTGACCAGACGCTGGACAAGCCCATACACAGAAACCGTGGGGACCTGGATGACCCCAGCTTGGGAGAATACCCAGGCTGCCCGCCTCTGGCAGCCACATGCTCTTTTCCTCTCTAAGCTGGAGCCCCATTCATTGATAACAAAGAGAACGCTGTGTGGAACTCGTAGGCCCTGATACTCACGTGCCATCGGTGTCTCCTGGCATGAAACAGGGAGCCTGGGCTCCAGGACTCTGGCTGCACCATGCAGATGCACTTCACTATGGGTTCCTCATTCTGCCGAGGTGAAAGCTGGGCGGCCGATACCAGGTTCTCGGCAGCCTGTTCTGCTGCTGTTCTCCTGTGGCCATTTACATCTTTCTTCTGCACCTTCAGATATTAATAGGCACAAATACGACCTCCTCAGAAATAACTAGACGACAAGGAAGTCTCTGAGCTCTAGCTGCTTCCTTCCCAGGCCTGGACCAGCAGCCAGTCTGAGCGCCCCCCATAGCCCAACCTGTCAGGGGATCTGGAGCAGTGGTAGGAAGGGACTGCAGCTCTCAGCACAGAAAAACACATCACAAGGAGCTGTGTGTATTAACAGCACCAGGTAACTGTCCCCAAGTCCCCACCAAGTTTGTGATACCCGACTTCTACAACTTGTTTTTCTAAGACCTCAACCCTAAGGCAACCTTGAGTTTACAGTCCAGTGCCCAGTGATTACAGCTGGCATTACTGAGTGGTAATAATAAAATGAGAAAGACCATTCTGGAAATGGAAAGTGTTTATATCTGTGGGTCTTGCTAACTTGCTTAGGCTGGCCTTGAACTTGAGATCTCCTGCCTCAGCCTCCAAGTAGTTGGAATTCCTGGCATACAGCACTGTACCCAGCAAATGTTTTTTTTTTTGTTTTGTTTTTTGAGACAAGGTCTGTCAGGCTGGTCTTGAACTCATGTCACCCAGGCTGGCCTCAAACATGCAGTGATCCTCTTGCCTCAGCCTCCCGAATGCTGCGATTACAGGCACCACCACCACTCCTGGCCCCAGCGAACTCAATCCCTGACTCAGTGCTGTTTCCACTCCTCCACCTCTGGATGTCTTTGTTCTCCCTGGGGTAGAAACAGAAGCAGAGAGCTCAAATGAGGACCTTGTTCACTGGGTGCAGTAGCCTCAGTGCCTGAGGCTTGCTTTGTTAACAAGAAATAGCCCTCAACCCTAGGCTGACTGAAATGGGTCTCTGTCACTGCTGTGCTTCTCGCCGATGCATATTACTAAGCTAATATATATACAAGTGCAGGGCAGGCACTGTATTTAGGGCAGGGATGGGGGAATGAGGTTCCTGGCCTCAGGCTTACAGTATGAAGAAAGTCCCTGCTTAGAGCACTCAAGAGGCCATTCTTTGGGTGGGAATCCACGGGTAGCATTGAAGCAGGAGACTGCACAGGATCTCGGACAGAACTGACAAGACACGGAGTAATAGGCCAAAGAGCAGTTTACTGCTGGCATCCCTCGAGGGACCAGTGTCCGCCTGAGAGCCGAGAACAAAGCCCTGTTTCCACTTTTATATTGTTCCTGTCCTACAGGGAAAGTTTTCACTGGAAATCAGCACAAAGCAAAGTTACAAAAGGAAAAAGCTCAGCGGCATGGCACCTGCCTGGCAAGCACAAGGTCCTGAGTTTGATTCCCAGTTGCAAAAAAGAAAAAACAAGGCTATGATTAAAGAGAAATCAACAGTGATCAAGAGAGGCAGAGACTTCAGACAGACCTTTCCAGGTCCACTATGCTCTACTGATAATAACTCAGTGAACCGTACATGACCAGGGTCAAACCCACCCGTCTTCTCAGGGAGCTCAGCTACACCAACTTCCTCAGGCGGCTTACCTGCACAGTTAACGTAGAGCTGTCCAGTGTCACCGAGAAGCTGGTCTCCCTGTGTGTGGATCAGGTCTAGAGGTGTGCAGACCCTTCCAAAACAAGGCGCACTCGGTCTTCCCAGCAGATGTGGACTTGGGTGGCGCCTAGAGGGTGCTCACCTGTCGTCTTACTGAAGCAAGACCTCTGAACCTGTGTCCAGGTTGGATTGGCAGCCTCAGGCACCTGCTCGGTTCTTTGTTCTTGGGGAACTCATTTTTTATTTATGCCAGTGGCTTAGTTTATGGTAAGAAAAGCTTCCCTCATATCAGAGCACATGATTCAGCAAGAACCGTTATTGTTTTGTTTGTTTTTTTTTTCTGTCTTTTTTTTGGTTTTTTTCCAGTACTGGGAATCAAACTCACGACCTGAGCTTGCTAGGCAGGCACTGTGCCGCTGAGCTAAACCCCCAGCCCCAAGAATGGTTATTGTGATAGTCCAAAGGACTCTGCCATGGGAAGCTGGTAACTGCTATGGAGAAATGCCACTTCTGCTTCAAGTAGAAGAGGCCTGAGCAAAACTTTGGAGGACGACAATGTGCCGGTCCCCAGCTGGGGTTCAACTCAGGCTGAGCACTCAGTCAGACTTGCCAACAACCGAGAAGAAAATGAACATGTTGAGCAACTATGCTGAAGCAGACCCTGTGCAAGAACTTTATTTTCATTTAGTCTCTGCCAGCCTTGCTCTTTTTCGTTTTTGGTTTTTTTGTTTTTGTCTTTTTGAGACAGGGTCTTGCTGTGTAGTTCAGGCTGGCCTTGACCTCACTTTGTAGCCCAGGCTGGTCTCAAACTCGCAATGATCCTCCTGCCTCAGCCTCCCGAGTGCTGGGATTACAGGATTGCACCACCACACCCAGCTACTCACTTGTTTTATGGTTCATAAAAAGGGTATAAAGATCCCCCACCTCTTCTACTAGAGGTGGAATTTCTATAGCTACCATATTTCCTATCACAGGCAGCCATTATAGCTACTAGCAGTGACCAAAGCAGCCAACACAACACAGTTGAGCTTTTTTTATTCACACCAATGAGCAAAGGCTGGGCAGCTGCCCTCCATCATCTTGAGGGGAATCTCAACATCTGCTGTGTAATTGTGCCATTTTCTTTAAACTCAGAATCAACAGTGAGGAACGTGGCAGCGGCTCAGCCATTGCACAGTGCGGAGAGCCCTCCTGAGCACCCTCCCCATGCTGTGCTTTGGTCCAGAGGCTGGGATCTACAGTCTCAACCCTATGGACAGGTCGGGGCTGTGCCCCAGAGAATGAGGCCCTAGGCTGGACCCGCACCCTTGAAAGCACACCATTGTGCCAGAGCCCCTGGATTCTGTTGGGTGAGCAGCAGACATTCTGCCCTATCAACCCTCCCTGGAGAGGTCCAGGGGTTTGTGTATTTGGAAGACAGGAAGGACATATTACTGATCACTGATCTCTTTCCTCCAAGCAACCTGGTGAGCTAGGAAAGACCTGTCACCTTGATTCTAGAGCTAGGGAAACTAAGACACAGAAATTAAGCATCTGGCGTGGTACTATCAGCTAATCAATGACAAAGCAGAACTAAAACCTTGCGTGGTTTCCTGGCTAAGCAAAAATACATGAAAGTGAACATCCACAGCCACCTGGCTGCTGACTGTCCTATGCATGACCAGTGATAGGATAGCGCTGTTTGCTTCAAGGATGGCTCGTAGAATTACAGTACTTAGGGTAATTAATGGAAATTAAGTGCCTTTAAGTATGGGAGAAGCCACTTGAGAAAGCTGTATCATCACAGCTGGGCTGAACTAGGGGTAGGCAAAACTGAAAATGGGTAAAGGGATTTTGTTAGTTCAAGAGGTGTTTTGTTGCTGGGTATGGTGGTGCACACCTATAATCCCAGCACTTGGGAGGCTGAGGCAGGAGGACTGCCCTGAGTTCATGGCCAGCTTCGGCTACACAGTGAGTTCAAGGCCAGCCTGAAGTACATAGCAAGACCCTGTCTCAAGAAACAACAATGAAAAAGAGGTGTTTTAAAGGCCAGGTGAGGTACTAGAGTTGTAGTTTCTAGACAGGCTTTATCGAACACCAGATTTTAAATTTGCAACCCCTAAAACCTTCCTTAGCGCCCTCTGGAACACAGCAAGAAGCTCACGAGTGGCAGCTTACCTACACGAGTAGCTCATAAATAATGCCGTCCAAGGGGTTACTTACAGGATCCTCTGGAGAACTTACAAGGGGTCAGGTGGCTGAGGCTGCATCTGTGATACCACACATCACTAGGAGCTAAAGTCTGGGCTTACGGCACATTAAGTCCAGGCAGCTGCTTGCTATGCAGAAAATAGCTACTTTCTGTCAACAGTTTGTTTTAGGAAGATGTGGAAATTCAAACTTTCTAGGGGGTAAAGAAATTTATTTGTATATCAATTTTTTGTGTGTGTTTTAATGTTTATTGGTACTCCTGCATTAGAAGTAACTGCAAAGGTCTTATTAAAGTTTCCACTTTAAATGTACAACTTTACCTCATTTTATTAAGGAATTGTTACAGAAAATGCAAATACCAGTACATATTTGAAAAATACATTCCATTACGCAGACTCCAAAGAAATGCTGATAAACACCACGGTCCCATATGATGCCGTCATCCCACACTGAGCGCCGCTCTTAATGGTTTGGAAGCCAAGATTATTGACCCAAGTATGTGCCTGTGGTTTCTGCCCAACCGCTGCCCTTGCCCTTGGTATCACAGGGACGTCACAGGACAGCCCACTCCACCTATCTGCCATAAAAGCAAGTGAGGAAGTCGAGCAGCCTCAAGACTCCCCAGGTACAGAAAACCAAAGCTGTCAGTTGTTACAGGTTAATATGTTTATGCCACACACAAGAACTGTGTAAGTGACCATCTTGCAAAGAAGGTCTTTAAGGCATCTGTAACTTCTAGGAATTTAGTTTACATCTGATCACTCAGCCCTTCACTAAATTGCTTCCATAAAGTGAAAGTGTGGCTTCCAAACGCCTTTGGCAAGCTGTTTCCTCTCTGCTTGCTCCTTTCCCCAGCTCGAGGAGATGCTCTCGTGCTACAGGTGGTGCTTCTAGGGCTCGTCCTGAGGGAAGCGAGCGTGTCTGGGGTACAAGCGTACACTTCCTTGTGCATGCCACTCTCGCCAGGGTGGTTGGCTTCCTTTCAGGGCTAAGCATTATAGTGCAGAAGGGTTCTTTTCCTCCACGTGAGGGACACCTACATGGAGGACAGTGCTCTTGCCCCTCCCAAGACTTCCCTCTGCCCCATGCCCGTGGATAAGATTAGTGCAGGAACGGTTCCATACAACGCGAGGAACATGAATCAGGAAGAGTGACAAGACCAGTGGGTCTCCATGCAGGAGACCCATTTAGCAGACAGAGTGAGGAAGCTGATCCAGGGTCAGAGTGACTCGGGGCTCTGAGGTAGAGGACTAAACGTCATGTGGAACCCACTCCTTGGAGAGAACATGGCAGGTGAAGTGAGCAGTCTAATCCAGCCTTGACTAAATCAGTAATTGGGGCTGACAATGCACAGGCAGAAAACTCAAATGAAACCCATGTTCTAATATATCATCCAGTGAGACGTCACTGAAAAGACAGTTGAAACTAAAGAGTCCTAAGTGTAGGCACTTAAGTTAGTGGGACATCTTTGTTTCAGAGGATCATAGCAATTAGCTTAAGCCATTCGATTTATGTGTAGCACGTGGCTTGTACCTCTGTATTAAAAAAACACACTGTATAGTAAGTCTGGCAATGAGCAAGAGGGAGTTAAAAAGCAAATTCTTATCAATGTTGACTGATACGGCAAATCATGTTTAAATTCTTCTTGCTCTACTTGTTCATCATTGGAAACTTTCAGAATGAATAAAATTAAGTTTTTG